TTTTTAAAATCAATGAGGGTTTTCGCGAATGAAAAATCCGCCAGATGGCAATACGTAGACGCGAGGTCCAAATGCTGCATGATTGGTTATTTTTGACATGACATTGACAGATATGTTAAAATCCACCAATCACGCTGCAGTCAGACCCCACATCCACGTCCCGCCATCTAGCGGATCTTTCATTCGCGAAAACCCTCATTAAAACATGTTGTGTTAAAACTAAGTGTTTATACGTATGTACAAAAAAGTTCACGTAAGCTATGTGTTTGTTAGGACGGTTCCCGCAGAAGTACATCTCCTTGTTCTGGCTATTGGACAACTTGTAAATTACCTACCTACATAAAATTTGTTTTTTCTCATCTGACTGTAAGGTTTTTAATAAGAAATACATGTTCTTTAAACCTATGTTGTCCCTTTTTAGACGATGTCCGAGAAAGAGAAAGAGCGTTTCCACGAGATGGCCGATCAAGACAAGATGCGATACGACCGCGAGATGCAGAACTACGTGCCGCCTAAGGACGTTAAAGTGCGCGGGCGCAAGCGGCAAGTGAAGGACCCGAACGCGCCCAAGCGATCCTTGTGAGTCACCGGTCTCGGACATTTTTCAATACTCAATAGTTTATTGCTTCCACAATGTTTACAAAAGGTGTTATTGGAATACCAATAACACCTTACCTATAGTATTTACTTATTTAGGCCGCTACCAACCGTGTGATGTGGAGGTCATTGGGGGAGGCCTATGTTCAGCAGTGGACGTCCTATGGCTAAAATGATGATGATGATTTACTTATTTTATGTGTCGTCTCGATCGTTAGTTTCAGCTATATGATGTCATGATAAGCCTCAAGGATTTCCACAAGGACCGGTACTGCGCTGCCCGCATCCAGGTTTTTTCGCTACCTTCACGATCGTCGGTCCACTCAGTGGGAGCCCACACTACTTACGTGGTCGCCACTCGATAAATTTCTGCCCCAACGGTCATCTCCACGAGCTATATGCCTCGTCCACTGCGATGCCATGATTTGTATTTTGTTGTGTGTTTAGCTTGTCAATCTCTATTGTTTGGGTTGTTAATAAGGTTATAACGCTGGGGACTGACTGAATTAGGTTCATTTATGCAGGTTATATTATGTCCTACTACCCAACTGATTCTTTTATAAATCTCTATTTTTCAATTGAAGTACTATATTCCAATAACGTGTTAACTTCTGAGCTACAATCTTGGTTTGGTCCCATTTGATTATTTTAGCTATTCTTACTAGGTACAGTCGCCAGCACAGACTACCCTTGTTGCAAAATCACACCTATATAAAAGGACATAAAAAAGTTTCTAAACTAGTGCGTCGCCTGTACCCTCCTTTCAAAAATCCAACCAATTTTCAACCTTATATCCTCCAACCCACAGATCGGCGTTCTTCTGGTTCTGCAACGACGAGCGTCCCAAAGTGAAGGCCAACAACCCGATGTTCACGATGGGTGACATCGCAAAGGAGTTGGGTCGGCTGTGGGCCGCTGCTGAACCTGAGACCAAGTCCAAATATGAAGCTCTCTCTGAACAGGACAAGGCGCGGTATGATCGGGTAAGTGATCTTCAACATCAGATTGTAGTACACTGTCTTGACCTTGGGAGACATCGCCAAGGAGCTAGGCCGAGCCTGAGACCAAGTCCAAGTATGAAGCTCTCTCTGAACAAGACAAGGCGCGGTATGATCGGGTATGTGATCTATCTTCAACATCAGTTTGTAGTACACTGCCTTCACCTTGGTAAACATATGGTAAGTGATCATCATATGATCATATTCATCATGTTCTCCTGAGACCAAGTCCAAGTACGAGGCGCTCTCTGAACAAGACAAGGCGCGGTATGATAGGGTAAGTGATCTATCTTCAACATAGTTTGTAGTACATTGCCTTCACCTTGAGAGACATCGCCAAGGAGCTAGGCCGAGCCTGAGACCAAGTCCAAGTATGAAGCTCTCTGAACAAGACAAGGCGCGGTATGATCGGGTAAGTGATCTATCTTCAACATCAGATTGTAGTATACTGCCTTCACCTTGGGAAACATAGGGTAAGTGATCATGTTCTCCTGAGACCAAGTCCAAATATGAAGCTCTCTCTGAACAAGACAAGGCGCGGTATGATCGGGTAAGTGATCTATCTTCAACATTAGTTTGTAGTACACTGCCTTCACCTTGGGAGACATCGCCAAGGAGCTGGGTCGGCTGTGGGCCGCTGCTGAGCCTGAGACCAAGTCCAAATATGAAGCTCTCTCTGAACAAGGCAAGGCGCGGTATGATCGGGTAAGTGATCTTCAACATCAGATTGTAGTACACTGTCTTGAACTTGGGATACATCGCCAAGGAGCTAGGCCGAGCCTGAGACCAAGTCCAAATATGAAGCTCTCTCTGAACAAGACAAGGCGCGGTATGATCGGGTAAGTGATCTATCTTCAACATTAGTTGTAGTACACTGCCTTGACCTTGGGAAACATAGGGTAAGTGATCATCATGTTCTCCTGAGACCAAGTCCAAATATGAAGCTCTCTCTGAACAGGACAAGGCGCGGTATGATCGGGTAAGTGATCTATCTTCAACTGCCTTCACCTTGGGCGACATCGCCAAGGAGCTGGGTCGGCTGTGGGCCGCTGCTGAACCTGAGACCAAGTCCAAATATGAAGCTCTCTCTGAACAAGACAAGGCGCGGTATGATCGGGTAAGTGATCTATCTTCAACATCAGATTAGCCATCACAAAAATCTTAAAAAAATTGGCTAGGTAAAAAGTGGTGAAAACGGGCATAGTCACCTTTTATAATGTAATTTTTAGTGCTAAGTGCAGACCAATTGTTTTACGATTTTGAAACAGCTGATTATGTCACACGATATTAATCCTTTCGATAATAATTAGTTACACATACATCAGTCCTCGCAGATCCTCCATTTGGCTCAAAATAAAGGTAAATCAAAGAGGGACATGTTCCTCCTGTGGAGGCTAAATGACTTGCTCATGATATCCTAAATATAACCTTCGTATCACCTTACAGGAGATGACAGCATACAAAATGGGCCACATGCGTTTAACGTTAGCGGCGCAACAACAGCAACAGCGGCTACCGGAAGATGAGGCCGAGGAATTCGACGCAGAAGCCGATTTCGACGGAGAAGCGGCCACAGCTTAAGTAGAAGTAGGCCGTAACCAGCGCTGGAAACCGGTTTTCTAACAACCGGTATTTAAAGGTAAAACCGGTTTCGGTCGTGCTTAGTTCACAGCCGTATTTTCAATTCGAAGCTTTATTTAGGTTGCCTGCATATGTAACTGTGTTAACCTGTATTTTATTAAGATTACTGGTACCCTAAAAGGCTTGGCGCTGGACATGTTTGTCAATGATAGATTTTTGATTATGTAAGTGCAATTAGGACCGGTTTGCCTTGAACCGGTTGACAAAAACCGGTTTCTAAGCCTTTTTTTCGGGTGATAGCGGGTGTCCAAATACTTTGGATCCTGCTCTGTAGTTCAATATAATTTTTACTCAATTGACGATTTATACCGCATTTAAACTGGTGACTACATAATGTATAGTCAGCTGTTCGTCTCTTTCTCGCACTCATTACAAGGTAAGAGTGCGAGGGAGTGAACTGTGTGTTTATACGTTTAAAGTCGACAGTTCTAAACGCAATACCTCCTTTAGTTTGCTTCGAACTAGATGCGCGAATGGGACGAGCGAAACCAATGCCATTTTGATAACGCCATGCTTATTAGATAATTTATTGCTACTTTTAAAAGTAACAAATACCTATCTTTATTTTTCGAATACTTATTCTTATCTATCTATTCTAGTATTTCATAGCACGAAACGACATTAAGATAATATTTTAATACAAAAAAATCGATAAGCAGGATTAAAAAACTTGACACATTCTTTCGTGCACTGGGCCTTTATGACTTTCTCACAAGCTTAAGAGCGTTTACGCGAAGCGCGGCGTTTCAAGGGGCATCATTGGAAATGATTCGCGCGCGGCGTTTTTTAATAGTTTACAAATGTTTATAGCAAAACAATAACAATGAATTAAATATCGTTTCAAAGTAAATATTTTAAAGAAGATGTTGTTTTATTATATTAAGCTATTTTTATGTTGAATAAAGGAAGAATATTGGTGAAAAAATCACTTTGCTTTTTGGGTATTTCACGTTCTTTTAATTTGTGATTTCTTATTGTAAAATGCTTAAATCTAAAAATTTTCTCAGATAACTATTTGCCCAATGATCTATGCTATAGGATATAAATGTTTGTTAAATCGTTTTCACAGCATTTTTATAACAATTTCAGCTTGTAAACTGACGCTAAAGTGGAAATTTACAAAACCTGTGTGGACTTATCTTGATAGAATTCTTAAATACTAAACTAATCGCAATATTTTCTCAATTAACTATTTAGACGACGAAATTGCCTAACTATTTATGCCTATAACATATTTGTAGTATTACTGGTTAATGATTGTAACGAGTTGAAAAAGTACTGTTTTTGCGCCAAACGGCGTAAACGCTCTTAAAGTTTTGTATTGATTAACCACATCGAAAGTCATAATAAATCTTCGCGCGAAAATTTCCGCAAGTCAATTCCATGTTTTTGTAGTCAAGATAATTTTCAATTCAATGTTAATAATACAAAACGTGCTCAAATGATAAAAAGTTTTGAATAAGGTTGTAGTCAAAAATGTCAAACTTTTCATTAAAAGTATCAGATGTCGTCTAACAACACGTTATGTTGTCGAGGCTCACAACTTAAATAGTGCCCTAGTAATTATGTTTTTCATTATTAACGTTATTATGACCATCAAACGACTATAAAAGTAGTTTTTAGTTAAAAATCGTCCTATTTTGGGGTAGTTGAAGTCTTTAAAGCTCAGATATTAATCAATTTAAGGGACCTAAGCTTTTATTACCAGAAAAAATCTATTGCTAAGGTATAAAATAACCTAATAAGAAAATTACACCTAGAATAATAATGATCGTGGTCAAGGCCAAGCTATTTACCTATTTATTTGTTATTTTAAAGATTTTATACAAAAACCTAAGAATTTTGCATTCTTGCGGGCTGATCCTAAGCCATACACCCCTTAAAACATTTATAATTGTCCCGATCAATACCTACTCCATTAAAAATAATTAACATAATTAGTTGAGGCGTAAACAAAAGAATTGAAGTATGGAGGCGAATGGCTCGGGCTGCGCTAATCATCTTATTGACCGGTTGTTGGACGAACTTGTTGCCGTTTCGTGCATATTCGGTCTNGAAAAAGTACTGTTTTTGCGCCAAACGGCGTAAACGCTCTTAAGGGCTAGTTCGTGCCTTTTGTGCCCTTAAATAAAAATACTTACGTGCATTATATTTTCATCTTAAGTGACGGCTAAACGTAATTTGGAGTGTCACCGGTGTGCCTTCATGACAACTATTTGAAGCAAACTAATAAAGATGACCCACGCTGAACTGTCCCACCAAACTCAATGACAGGGGGGCGCTACCATCGTTCAACTATATGGTTTCCAAGATGTCAAAAATCGGAACCTGCGATCCGGTATTGACGGTGGCGCCCCGCTGTCAATGTCATGGATAGGACAGTTCAGTATATTGGAACTATAGTAATTTTGTTTTTGAGTAAATCCCAACGCAATAATGTTACAAAATCGTCGATAGTGAGGCTTAGTCATACTGTACCACTTTTTATATCATTTTTATACTATAAAACGAGAATAAATTTTGTTTCTTCATAAGTCTTGAAGGATTGCCTGCTGTTTAGATTTGCTCAACGGAAAAAAGTTTCGTTTATTTATGATTAATAAATAAAAAAGTTTCTCGGCTTGTCGAACTTCAATTACTTTTGATTGATGGTCGATAAATGGAGAGTTACAGTTACCGAAAAGAAAAAAAATAGTCAACAAACAACACATCGATTTTGAGTCACCGTCACTTGTCTAATAAAAGTACTATAATATATTAAACTATACCGGTCCGTTCTTTTCCGTACTGCACCGGCTCGTTCCGTTCTGTACTGTACTGTAATGTTCTATTGCAGTACTGTACTATTATTACAGTACAATACTACATCATAACTTTTTAAATCTAGCTTTTCTCTATCTCTCTAAAGATTGTTACTTTTCTTTCTTCTCGGGCTCTGTAAGACAGTATTCGTTATCCCTTCTGTTGATTGTTGTTTATTTAATTTTACTTTGTTAGCTTTTTCGAATACTAGGAGTATAATAAAACTACAAAAACCATAATTAGTCATACACGCTATCCTTTAAGGTTTTAGGTACATAGAAGTATTTTTTGACGGCGTATGTACATTTTTATATAAATCGTGAATTAATATTTCCTAGTAGTCATTCAAGTTTCATAAATGCAACTCGTACAGATAATAGACATCGTGAGAGGTCTATAATCCGGTCGCCGAGTACGTAGAATTTCGTCCAATGACTCGTGCGATAAGGATGTGTAGCTTGGGGTCATTGGAGGAAATTCTACGTGCTCGGCGACCGGGCTTTAGTCGTCGTCGTCGTCGTCGTCGTTTCAGCCGAAAGACGTCCACTGCTGGACAAAGGCCTCCCCCAAGGATTTCCACAATTAGTAATTGATAGTAACTATCAATAGTTTTTTTTGTAGTATTCCATTTGCATAGACCCCGATAGTACCAATTTATCGGATCTGATTTACCTACTATCGAAAGGTCCTATTTATCCGTTTGAAACTTAGGCCCGTATTTCAAATCGACGCTCAATTTAATTATATCTCAACCATAGAATATGCAAGTTTTTGATTGACTAAATTTCAATATTGAGACAATCACAGGATATAATTTGTGCCTATTTTTGAGTCTAGTCTCATTTAATCCTTCAAGGTCCGCGAATCTAGACAATAGATAATCAATTGTTATGACATTAATTAATGCCATCTGGGACACAAGGAGTTAAGAATACAAGCTTTATATTAGATCTACTGTAATTTTTGGAAACAATATAAGGCGAGTGACAAAGGCATGCAGTCGCCATTTTGAATGAAGACAAAAATAATGTTTTGTCTGTGCGGGTTGTGAAATTTACCTACGCAATAATTAGTCTCATCAAAAGCATCTAGTACCGATTTAATGTCTATGTTTTATCACTGTATTCTCATACCATATCTCTCTAAGAAATAGATTTAAGCAACATTTCATATTAAGCATATTTCTCTTACTAATAACGTAAGCAGCTTACTCCCTTTTGTCTTAAAGCAAATTGCCTATGTTAGAAAGAGACAACGGCAAGTCTGTCATACAACGAATATTAGTAAGAGGACTCTGTTTCACTGGCAGTCTTGAATAATTCAATACTTTAAGTACAAGTGTCAAATGTCTTATATATTTTTCCACAAGCGGGAAGTTTTCGTTTTTGTTTTGTTCGCCATAAAACGAATTTGGCAAGTAATACTCAATTATATATTTTTTTCAGTAAACGGCTAAGAGCCGAGCTGTTTTGTTATAAACTGCCTTGTTAAGGATTTCCAAAAGTATTATTTAAACAATGTTCTCTGGTCATGTATTTTTAATATAGTAAAAAAGGTGAAAACGCAAAATTTTAAGGTGTGGCCTTATACTAAATGTATTTCAAGTAATACAGCAATACTTTCAGGAACAAATAATTCAGCATTAAATTAAGTCCATCGAAGAATAATAAGTGTTAGTTGATAGAAAATTAAGCGAGTATGTGAGAACGATTGTGCGAGATTTATTGTTAATTTTCACGGAAAAATTGTATATAGTTAATTAAATTATATTCCTTTATTTTACTTTAAATATTTTATGTTATATTAGTTTCGTTTTAACATGTTGTTTAAAGATTTTTTAAAACGTGTACTTGTGTGAAAAAAAAAGAAAAAATTATATTGATAGATATTTGTTAAAGTGTAAATAAAAGGACTGCGAATCGTGATAGTACTTAAAATTACGAGTGTAATCAATGTCTTGAGTAATGCTAGATTTTCCTTTCTGCTTTTATCTGTTTGAGGTTGATTTGTCGTATGACTTTCTAATTTTTCGAACGTTAATGTGAAACTTGTGCGAGTTTTTCTCAATAGCTTCTAACTAGGCATGGAACATTTCATGAATAGCAGGTGAAAAATCATATGAAATGAATTTCATTAATCACACCTGCTATTTTTCTTCACATATACTGCTATAATTTCGCAGTCAACGAAATCACGAATCACATGAATTTCATTCATTCATTCGAGCGAAGTCCGTGAGCGCTGCTCTGCTAAGTGACCGAGCGAGTAAGAAGGAATGATTTGATCATGTGCGTGTTAGAAAAGGACAAGAGATGTGATGACGAACGAAACTGAGCATTTTAAATATGAACTTTAAACTCAAAGGAGTAAGGTTTAGATTTCCTTGTCATGATTCGTATCATTAGATAGCAGGCAGATGAAATGAATGATTTTTCACTAGTCGCGCGGTTAGTGATTGTTTTGTTGCATATATCCATACTGTGCTGTGGAACTGTTTGTTTTTTGTTGTGCGACACAAAATCAAACAGATATTAAGTCACATTCAATATAGGTAGCTAATTAGCAATCGTTCATCATAATTCATACTTCATTAAAAGTAGCACATTAAATGAAAGAGCTATATTTTAACACTGCGAATAAAAATCATTGCCTGTGAAATTTCACATGTGAAATCACATGAATAAAAATCATCATTTCATGAAATGAAAATGAACGGAAAATAGCAATCATTTCCATGCCTACTTCTAACGAGCGCGTAAACGCGAATTCAAGTTAAATTCGAAGTGGCGCCGCCTAGCGGTACGCAAATGAAACTTCTATAAAACCCGTTTGCGCACTTGAGTTAGAAGATTGAGTAAAACTGAGAAGGAGCACAGATTTAGAATGGAATTTAATGTAATTAGAGCTGTAAGCGTGTCAATAGTTTCTTGGTGCAATGATTTAGCACTCCGGCTGTGAGAAATTCTGACGGTTATCGCTATTTATAATCCCACTCCTTTTCTGTGCGGTATTTACTTGAAAAATCTCATTAAAATATCCTGTGGTGATGTTGACATTCGAAAAAATAGAGAAACAACTCTTATACATACAAATCGTATAATTATGCATAACTCTCCCACCTAAGTTTAATCGAAATTCCTTACGGAAAAAATGTTTCTCTGTGCTCATAATTATATTGATTTGTATGTAAAATGTTATTTAGTCAACCATTATTTAATTTACCTTGTACCTTGGAATTTGTCTTATGTGATTCAGCTGTAATATTACAGAACTTTAATAGTTCCATTCAATGTGAGAGTTACACTTAGTGAACGAATGTGAATTATTTTTAAGATACTCGCGTGTATTATGGCGATATTGTCTTGAATTTGTGAATCGCTCACTGTACAAAACAATATAGTGAATCTTTTACACAAATATCATTATTTTATTTTACCACACTATATCCTGTACCCATAGTCCTGTACATAATCGAGATCCTGTGGCTGTATTTTTGAACTGTCATGTCTATCAGCTAAAGACGATGAAAAACCATTTTCGTTGAAAATATTAATATTGGATAGTAGGTATTTGCTAATCAAGTAGCCAATTCATTTATGATTTATGAAAGAATAAACATTAGAAATCAAAGTAATTTTAATATAAATGGCCATAAGTAGGTATATTTAAAACTAGCGGCCGCCCGCGACTTCGTACGCGTGGACCCCGTTTTACCCTTAGGGGTGAAGTTTCGAGTTTTTTAGGGTTTACCCGGAAATTATTCAAACTTTTCTCGCTGTAAAAACCATCCTTGGATTTCAACAAACATTTAAAAAAAGAATTGGTAAAATTGGTCCAGGCGTTGTTGAGTTATGCGCTTACCAACACATTTTGCGATTCATTTTTATATTATAGAAGATTTTAGTCTGGCCTACTTTTATAATGAAACTTACCGTTTGGCCGAAACCTTTTTTCTTCAAATATCGTATCGATAGGATCTTTTCACATTTCACACATTCGTAACAGTTGCGTTTTCAGCAATATGCGAAATTAATGTCCTTACCCCTATTTTTTGTACTAACTTGACCGGCCTACTAGCGCGCCACAACACGGTTCATCCACGGTAGTTCATCGATAAAACGGGCGCACTTACGTAACAATCTATGGAAAAGTACCAGGAGCGCAGAAAATGTAGAGTTAGTGGGTAGTCTGAAAAGTAGACGTCAGTCTCACGTAGCTAGAGAGAGACGGCAATACGATTAACTTTAAGTGGGAAAGAGATGGGTGGATGTTGCAAGGTTACAACTCACTCGGCTAACGTCAGTCCCATGTAGCTAGAGAGAGACGGCAACACGATTTACTATTAGTGGGAAAGAGACGGGTCACTCGGCTTCTACTCCTACAGATTCATGCTTGCCTGGTACTTTGAGACTGTTACGAACGTTTCTGAGCAAATGTGGACATTTTTATTGTGAACATTTTTGTGGATGGCACGAGTGTAGTGAAAGTATGGAATGCTATTTTTCAGAACTTTAGTGTTAAAAAAGGACGATAATAATGTTAAAATAATGACTAATATTTGAAGTTATTTTTATTTTGAAAGTCGGATAAAGACAGGATAAATTGCAGTTCAAAATACTTTTTTATGCAGTCTTTTAGTTAGTTACTCGGTAGGTGGTAGTTAGTAGATATTTACTACGCTAGTATTTTATACATATTTGTTTAAAAAAAAAAAAAACACATGCTCATACACATTTTTTATGTTACCAGCTTAACAGTCTTGAGTTTTATTTTAGTTTTCAATGTTGGTCTCCTACAGAAAGCTGTTATATTTGGACACCTTTCAGATCAGATTAATGAGGGTTTTGGAATGCTACAAGCAGTTAATAGGCAGTTTTCTACGATTCAATCGAAGGTATTGAAATGAAACAAATATTGACTCATTTGAAACATCATTTTATTTTATAAAAATAAACGTTTTGACGACAAATAGTTTATAATATTCGGGGTCCTTACGAATTCACCAACTCATGTCAGAGTCACCGTCAGGAATGTTTCAAGACATTGTAAAAAATTCAGTTTTTACAAAAGTTATTTTTTTTATCTTAAAACATTAACAACATTACATTTTCACATCTAAATCTAATAACGGTCGATCACTTTCATTTATTTTTACAATATAACATTAGCCCTTACGAAAATAATATTTTTATCAGTTGTTAATGACACGTAGAGCGCTTCGCCGGACCCAATGCCGGTTTTCATAAAATAATATATTCATTAATTTTCTTTTCGAATTTTAAGCCAGCTTCATTCAGAAATAAAAATATCTGATAACTAAATAGAAACGCTCAATATAATTATCATACATGGGGCATACGTTTTCTTGTACAATTAAGACATAGTTACAAAATGACATATTTTATTTAGTTACAATTAGATACTGTATCAGTACGGGGTTCGATTATGCGGGGATGCTAATGCTAGTCCCAACGGCTAACCGAAGCACAGGTCAACATTACAACAATGCAATCTTTATTAGTACACATTCGATAAAAATATAGAGAAATACATCACAAACTAAACACCGAAGACGTAATTTACCAAGTCTTTTTCAAAATAAACTATAGTTTGACTTTAGTTCAAACGTTAACTAAACATACGAGCATTGCATTGTGACTAGATTAAAGTAGGAAGGTATTATTTCAAATTACGTCACCTATCGAACTATTTCTTTTACTTTTTCAGTACGCACAGATAATTATAGTCCGTATACCAGGCTAAATGATGAAAGCTCGTTCCAACATATTCTACATAATACCTATCATATAATATACACATGGCATACATACAATTATAGTGTAAAAACTAATATCACGGAACGCCGTATGCAAATCATAAGTTTTTCTCTAAGAGATCGTACGCTACGAAAATATCGTATGTATTTGGGAAAAGAAATTTAAGTACCCTGTTAATTGAAACAAAAACGGGTAGGTATTGGCCGAATTCGATTGGTGTTGTGGGCTGGCCTCGCGGGTGCTGCCTCCACCATGTTATCTTGAAGCACTAATGGAATAATCGATGAAACCTACACCATAATTGCTTAAAGGTAATTCTGATGACATCTAATCAAGATGGTAGCAAAGTGGATTTATTTTCAACCGACTTCAAAAAAGGAGGAGGTTATCAATTCGACCCGTATGTTTTTTTTTTTCTATGTTTGTTACGCGATAACTCCGCCAATTATGAACCGATTTGAACAAATCTTTTTTCGGCGTATAGGTAATACCTCAAGGGTGGTCCCATTTAAATTTAATAATAGAAAAAACAACCCCCAAGGGTGGACAATTGGGGATGAACTTTTTTATACGCAATGTCTCCGCCGATTATAAATCAATTTGAACGATTATTTTTTTGTTGAATAGGTATTATCAAAAGGGTGGTTTCATGCGAATTTGAAGAAAATATTTCACCCCCAAGGGTGGAAAATTGGGGTTGAACTTTTTTATACGCAATATTTTTAATTTTTAGTTTTGTTTTTGTGTTCACGCATTTGAAGTCGGTTTTATTTTTTTTTAAAGTTAATTGATAGCTTCTATCCACAGATGACAGAAACTAAAGGGAGATGTGACAAGGGGGCGGGGTCGGCGTCGCAGCAATTTGCCCAAAAACAGAACACATTGCTGCAGACGTCATAATGTAAACAGTTTGCATTGCTTGCGTAATACTAAAGATTATTCGAACGTTGAGTACTGATACCGCAGTGGATAATGAGCACATATCTGTACCCCCAGTGAAAAGGGATCTAACTCGACTTAGATCAAAATTGACTTTATAACATAATGTGAATCTCTGAAAAATTAGCTATTTTTGTATCTAATCGGTATGTTTCTACGACGTATAGAAAAGAAAATAATTTTGTGCCAAATGATACAAGTAAGGCTTTGTGAACCAATTTTGAGTTTTCTTTCGTGTATATTGATACATGTCTACTTTTAACAAAGTGTACCGGAGGCTTCTTTCAATTTTTTATTGTGTCAAGAGGTACGACTCGTATTACTACTTTTTACACGATTGAAGTTGTTCAGATTGAATTTGTGATTAACAATATAAGATGACTCATATTAATATACACAAAAAAAACTATGTATTGTTGGTTGGTGAAAAAGAATGTAACTTAATTTATATCACAAAAAGTAAAAGACAAATGATTATTTATTTTGTGTATAATGATTCAATTAGACTAATACCATTAACCACAAAAGTTTCGTACATGTGTAAAATAATAGGAGATAATGTATGTGATTTAGGCCGATATCATTCATGGTATATGGTGTAATAATTAATAAAATAGTAGTTTCAGATCAGAATAAACATTTAAGGAGTAAATAATTAGAATCCACTCTAAAATTCTAGCCTTATTCCTTTACAATCGCCACTTATATCACTTTACACATAATTATTAGGATACTTAGATCGCTATTATGTTAGTTAGATCAGTTTACACATTTTTTTTCTCATCACAAAATTGGTGTATATTGATATAAGTAGAAATTTTTGGACGATTTACCCTAAATAACCTGAAATAATGATTCCTCATAGTGTAATTACTAATGTTTGTTTTACAACTTTTTCTGAAATTAAAGAAACAAAAAAATATCAACAGAAATGGCGTAAAATGTATCACTTTACACTTGTTAGCGGGTGGTCAATTCAGTGTGGTGTAAAATGATTTATGTCCCATTACATCACTTTACACGAATGTAAAGTTGCCGTGCATGGCGATATAACTGGGTTTTTATTTAATTACGAAAAAACTACATGCTATATTTCCCAAACTGGCACACTGCCTAATTATATCTAACATTACCTTTCACCTAAAAAATATTTCACCAAGTTATCTCTAATAGACACGAAGCAGGATTTTTTTTAACTTCAAATGCGATTTCCCAAAAATCACCATTTTTGACTTAACTCCGTTTTCACTGGGGGTACAGATATTTTGATTACTTTGCTTCTATCTGATAGATAACTTTTGTAAAAAATATTGATTTTGAATTTTTGATTTGTAAACTATAAAATTACTAACCAAAATGTTGAAAATCGTTTACAGAACTATGTACCTAATAGTGCTCCAAGATAAAACATTTGAAGACCGCACCCGCGCAGCCACCGATCTAAGTCTATTTACATCGCGCGTGTTCGCTATGACCCCTCCGCCTCGTGGGGGTCGGGGGGTTGTTGCGGGATGTAGTTCCATCTCGCTCGCACTTCACTAGCAGGGGTGGGCGGGGGGTTGGAGGGGGGGTTGCGTCTCGCTCTAACGACCGCTAGGTGGCGCTGTATGTAGTGCTCATGGGGCGCTAAAGCAGCCGCTCTGGTCAGGCACTCCTCGGCTACGGCCAGCTTGCCGCGTTCGACCGCTACCACGCAAAGGTTGTGGAGCGCTTGCACGTTCTCTGGCTCCAGTTCTAAGATGCGGCGGTAGCACTGGAATACAGAAAGTTCGGGTTACTTATGAACTTCAAAAAAAAGAAAAGGTAGGTAGGTTAGGAATAGTCTTAGGTAATCATCATCATCATCATCATTTCAGCCACAGGACGTCCACTGCTGAACATAGGCCTCCCCCAATGCTTTCCATGTTGATCGATTGGTAGCGGCCTGCGTCCAGCGCTTCCCTTCGTCTTAGGTAAACTTTTGCGATTTTGTTACATATGGCAGACATCGTTTTCATACTGACATAGAAAAACCGATATAGAAAATTGTTAACAGTAACGCTATAATAACATTCTGAAAAGCCTCCACCGTTGAGGGTCCAATCCTATGGACTAACTTAGCCTTCACTAAAATTAGGTTTAGATTCCGGGTTCACCGACATTATAGTACTGGGACTGTGAGGTGGGATAGTCTATTTTAAAGAATGTTAATAATACCGTTAACCCCTAGTGGTACGGCTAAATAAATATGCTTATGGTATGAGTGAGTTTACTACAATAGTCCAGAGGTGGCGGGGATCGAACCCGCGTTGCTCGAACTACGTGTCGGCCAGTCCCACACCTTCACCATTTATGGATCACGAGTTGGCCAATGGCCAGTCCTTCGGCTATAAACGCTAAATGATTTAATTAAGAACTTACGCTCTCAGCTGCGTCCAAATCCTTGACGGAGTTGATGTAGATATCTCCCAAGAGCACCAACGCCTTCACGTGGTCGGGGTGATGTCGCACCAGCTGTTTAAGGAACGGAGCTGCTTCCAGCGGCCTCCGTCTGTCAGCTAGTAGTAAAGCAAGGTTGAAGAGCGCGGATCGGAAGTCAGGCTTGAGGTGCACTGCTGCGCGGAACCAGCGCTCAGCGCATTCCGCGTCGCCTTCGTCCATGCACACCATGCCAAGGTTGAAGTGCACGCGCTCGTTTGTAGCTGGAAGGAAATGGATTTAGAGTTAGAGGTATAATAATGCACATTGGTTGAAAGTTGAAAGGCAGCGATTTCAGAGGTGAGTCGCTTTAGATAAAGTAGAAGGCATTTGTGCTAGCTTCTGTTAAGCTTAGGATTAAGCGTTATTCACTGATCAATATTGCCTCTTTTTTCCTTGACCCCAGTCAATTGTAGGTTCTATTACTTATTAAGGCCTATTCAGACCTAAGCGGTATTCGCTACCGTCTGCGGCAGAGAAAACCCAGTGGGTATGCGGTAATAATACTGTTCAGACCTAAGCGGTATTCGCTACCGTCTACCTATATAGGACCTCTACCCACAGCGCGGCAGCGAATATCGCTCACCCACAGCGCGGCAGCGAATATCGCTCAGGTCGCTCTAGCCGCGATACTTGATACTAAATACCTGAGCGAAACCCGCGCGGTATGTAGGTACCTCTACCCACAGCGGCAGCGAATATCGCTCAGGTTTGAATAGTCCTTTAGTTTGGTCCATCAGTGGATTCAGTGGTGACTAGTGGTCAATGGTAGTCATATAAAATTATGGGCTTGAGAAGTAGGTATAATAAGACAACACAAAAATCGTCTATAGATACTATACAGCAGTTCCTGAAATAATTTTACTGAAATTATTAAAGTTACTGAAATAAAAATGCGTTTCAATAGCAATTTTTGTTCGTGTTTTGACACCGACTAGTTCGATCTCATAACCTAGCTAGATTTGATACAGCCTACTTGATAGCAGACATCATAATTTTTATAATGTTAACTTACCGTCTTTATCCAGGAGTTTCAGCAGCCGCTGGCGGGCCAAATGCCTCAGGTCAGCAGCGCCCAGCTCTTGAAGCAGTATGGCGGAGTTTAACAGCGCTTGTTCATGCTCGGGTTCCAATTCCAGCGCTTTGTCCAGGTAGGCTAGCGCTTGCGATGCTTTACCTTGCTCGAGGAGGACTACGCCAAGCTGGAAATTATCGTATGTAGCGGTTAGTGACATATTAATCCAAAATCAAATCAAATCAAAAATATTTTAATAAACTTTGACAACTAGTGGCACTTATGAACGTCAAAATACAGTAAAAAAAAGGTAGCCTTTAAATATGTCCATATCTTTTGGGCCCTACCTACCAGCGCTTCAAGACAAACATAAATGGCAAATAGTAAACCAAGATAGGTATGTATGGCAGGTCCTAGCAATTTCTAGTGGTTGAGTTGAATGGTGTGGTCAAATCAAATACGAGTGGCCGCTCGTGACTTCGTACCTACGCATGGATACCGTTTTACCCCCTTAGGGATTCAATTTTGCAAAATCCCGTCTTAGTGAGCACCCACGTTCTAAAAGAAATCGTGCAAAATTTGAGACTGTAGCACTTGTTGTTTCTGAGATTTCGTGATGAGTGAGTGAGTCAAACAGTCAGTGAGTTTTCGCTTTTATAAATATACTCGTAGATTAACCATATTTGCGTTCTAGTTTTGAGTGCAATGCAAAAAATTATTGAGTATCGAGTGCCTACCAAAAATATTGGACGCTATTCAGTAGTTTCTTATTGGTAAAATTGGTTTACATTTCCACTATTTATTTAATTTAAAGAATCATAAATACAGCAAATGCCCCTGGGAAATCAGAGAGGGTCATCGTCCTGCAGTGAAGATCAATAAATTGACCTGATGAAATAATTATTAACTACCTATCATAAAATGTCTGTTGAAGGTTTTACTTACGTTGTAATAAATGTCCGGATTTCCACTATCATAAAGGAGAGCTCTTTCATACACTTCCTGAGCTTCCTTAGTCCTATTCAATTTGATGAGAATATCTCCTCTATTAATGTAGGCTTGTGTATAATCAGCTCGCATGCTGATCGCTTGCCGGTACAGCATGTCTGCTTCTTCCAGTCTCGTCGCATTCTTGGAGATTAAATTGGCTAGGTTCAGGAAAACGTTTAGATGGTTGGGAGCTATCCTCGCTTGGTAGGACTCTCCGGGCTTTGCTTTTGGCAGTAGCGACTTGGCTTTGACGTAAGCATCCTCGGCCTCCTGGTATCTTCCCAGGTGATTGTACGTTCTGCCGACGTTGATGTGAGCGCCGACGTCATCTGGTTGCACGCTGACTGCTGTATTGAAGAATTCTAGCGCTTCAGCGTAGCTACCTTCGGCCTCTAAGGCGTGGCCTACGTTGTTGTATAGCTTTGCGTTGTTGCGGTTCACCTAGAAGACCAGACGAAAGAAATATTTAATTAGGGATAGAATTTTTATAAAACAATCCTTGACCTATCTGTGAATTCGAGAGTACTAGTTAACTGTGAAAGAAGTGTAGTAATTTCGTAAGATACGGTCTTTGATACAAACGATGAAAACAAAACAAAATCAAAAAGATTCCTCGCAGATACGAGTAAGTACCTAATTCTAATGTTGAAACAGAAAATAATCAACGCAGTTTGAGTGTATTTTACCTTCAGTCCCGAAGCAAAAATGGAGTATTCAGTCTTCCAATCCCAGTTTCTGACGTAGGTCTTCGCGCTGAACGCCAGTAAGAGGAAAATAAGGGCTGCAGCGGCGAGCTTGGCCCGTTTCTTGGCGAGGAGTCGCCATCCATGGGCCACTAGCAGACACCAGCCCATGGAAGGCATGTAGAGAACTCTTTCAGCCACTACGAAGCCGACAGGGAAGAATAGGTTCGAGGCTGGCAAGAATGGTAGCACCAATAATGCTAGGCCCTGGAATAAGAACGAAAATATTACTTTACAGGGTTCCACATGACATAATGTCTTTGTATATGCCAGCGTCTGGCATCAGTAGGCAAGGAGCACGGAATAGTCTATTAGATATTTGCAGCTTTAATTAAAAATAGGTGTCTAATAATTCAAACTTATTTAAAAAAAAACGTGTTGCTTGGGCCTTAATCAATGAAAGACTAATTGGATTGGGCATCGTGTTTCTGACAAATATAATTTGGTAGGTACCTGTAGTTACTACCTCCATATATTATTTCTTTAGACAGAGTCAAACGACACGGCCAAGCCTATCAAGTCCGATTAAAGTTTAAGAAAATATTATGACTGCCATAAAACTTACCATAGAAAGAGCAGACGACCTGGTCCTCAGCGCATGTACTGCTGCAGCGATGAGGCTTGTAGCCAACGCAAGGGTGGCAAGGTTCCTCGGGTCTCTCCACGAGCGGACCAAAGCCACTGTTCCCATCGTCCAGTCGCAGCATAGGGCCTCGGGCAATGTCAGCAACCAGGCGTTGAGAGCAGGGAGATAGGCGAAGGTTAAATGCCTGGAACATCAAAAAAACATGACTATATTGTCTTTTTTAGGATCAGTGTGCAGTGTGTTTACCATGAGCTTATGTTACGGGTGCTCGCTAGCGACTGCGTAAAAAATGACATTCAAGCTGAGTTGCACCACCAAACTTTAACCGTGACTATAACGATAACCGGTGCTTTTTGTATGGAGTTTGACAGATTTTTAGTTAAAGTAAGTTGGTGCAACCCAGCCTAAATATATGACAAATTACAGCGCCCTTAGCGGCTACTTTCAAAAACTAAAATCTTTATGGATTTTTTTGACGCACTCGCTAGCGAGCACTCCTAACGTAAATTTATGGTTCAAGCACACAGAACCAGAATGTGGAGATATAAGAACAAGAACTTATTAGCTTTGTGCTTGTAAAAGACGACGCATCAGTCTGATCGAGCAACTATCGACACATCATTTTAAACCGTTCAGCTAAATTGTTGATTAACACAAACAGTGATCAGCCAAAAGTAAATTGTTTACCGCTCAGCAGTTTAACCATCCATTGAATTGAGGCCTTAATCTGTTTGACGCATTATCACAGCACGAGAAAATAAATAAAATGATGCTTCGGTAAATTAAACTTGTGAATAAAATATTCCTTCCTGTTTACATTACCTAATTGATAAATCAATTTCGGTTCAAATTTATAACTCACGTTTTTGGAGACACGACGGCTCGATTAGACGTTATTTGTCAACACCGGGAGAAATTGAATAGATAGCAATTAATTCCTGTCGACGAGGAGTCGGCGAACTCTGACTGTGGGTTGGGTTTTACGCAATTTTAAGCTTTCATTTAACTGGAGGGTGGAACTAGTGGGGTAAATCCGCCGTTAAACAGCGAGCCTGTCGTTAATTTAATGTGCTCCTCGGCCGCGTCGCTCGACACGAAAGTGCTGTCAAAGCCGGCCGTTATCCCCGATCTCGATTACTCAGTAAAGATCACCTTCGACTTGATGATGACAAAGTACTAGAGAGTTTATAGCCCTTATTAACTTCGTGTTCGGGGGCTTCAATTTGTATTTAATTGACAGAGGATGAATTTTATTAACATGCCTGGTTTAGTGAGTATTTTAGCATTAGGTATATGGGATGTAGGTTTCGCATTATAACAACATTATTTTTTGTTCCCACTAGGTGGACCGACGATCTGGTGAAGGTCGCGGGAGGCGCCTGGATGTGAGCGGCGCAGGACCGGTTTTTGTGGAAATCCTTGGGGGAGGCCTTTGTCCAGCAGTGGACGTCTTTCGGCTGAAACGAACGATGTTTTTTTAACAGTTAACATTAAATTACATAAGATTGTACAAGTACTTATTTCCAAAAGGAGGAGTCCAAGCAGAGCTGACAATGCTGGTAAATACCTATGGGAAGCTATAACGAGCTTAGCTCCTGTTGGCTCTATGTGAATTGCAAGGACAAACTATTAATCTACTTGCCAGGTAATCCGTTTGTACAATTTCCCACTTCTCAATGGAGTGGATTGCACACTGACCCATACATCTAACTAGATTAGTACCTCAAAAGAAGGTTACATGGCTGCAGGATTGTCAAATCTAGTAAACACAGGCAGTTGCGCGCTTATGACGTGTAATCTCGTTGCTAGGAGCGCTAGCATCGCGCAGAAGACGGTAGCCACACGCGCAGCCCCATACATCTTAGGAGCTACATTCGCGAGATTAGGAGCTTAATAGAAGGTCTTACCTCGCTGGTGGTGGAGCAGCGCCAGCAGGGTTGTCAAATCTGGTAAACACGGGCAGTTGAGCACCCATGACGTGTAATCTCGCCGCCAGGAGCGCTAGTGTCGCGCAGCAGACAGTGGCAACACGGCGCGCCGCCTCGCCGCACGCGCAGCCCCAACCGGAGCCTTTGCCCCATGCCTCTAGCCAGGACCAACGGCTGCCGCCACCTGAACTTCGGCGCTGGAAGAAAAAATAGTTTAAGGTATACAACGGAACTATTCCCACCGTTGCAACTCCTGTGTACAGCTTGACCGCCAATTAAAACCCAGACCAGTGAAGGTCAAGTTTGTCCTGGGGGAAAGTTAAGCTGTCATTGGATTGGACTCGCAACGAAATTAATCAGAAGAAAATGAAGAAGTTAGGGTTCGACTTCCCTCCTCCTAACATCAAGTTAGTGTAAGTGGCTGGCTTGATAGTTTTTATATTTAGATATGCTAGTATTGACTAAAATTTTAACTAGTATGGCGAATTAGAACAAAGAAACCATTGAAATCAAGATTAAAAAGAAGTTAGCTCCACAGAGTGTAATATATATATAATAATTCAGCACAAAACTAGAATATAATAAAACCGATATATCAGAGAATTCCAGCGCAAACGAAATGAGCTTTGCGCTGCAACAGCTATAAATACTATTTATCCCTTCAAGTTAGAACAACAAGAATCCTGCGGATTATAAAGTGCATTGTACTGGAGCAACGTGTCGACGCCAAGGAAATTATATTTTTCTATTAACTCCACTAAAACACTCCCCAGATAGAAAGTAAGACCAAAAAAGAAACATTGAAACCGAGCGGCAAGGTGGCAAAAAGTAATTTCCATTTACAAAGCTTTGGAACTGGGTCGTAGGAATACTGAGTATTGAACCCGGGAAAGAAGATAATGTCGCCGTATAACGCGACGAGGAACCTTAATACGTGTGCGTAGGGACCAAATTAGCTTGGCAATCTTGGCTGGGTCTTCGCTAGATCTGTCGCAATATAAAAAGAAACTCCTAGATAACGAGATATGACGCCTTTATGTATCCCACTTTATTTATATTAGTGCATGGATTTACATTTCAGCGCTTAGTGTAAGCTGTGGTCTTACACCGAAACTAAAGTGGAATGGAAATTAAGTAATATTAAACCCCAAACGACAATCTTAAAATATGGTTACGTAACTTCTATGTAATAATTTTAATACGGTTGCGAGGGATTCTTGTCCCTTGTTTTTTTGAGACAAGAATCTGTTAAGAGGACTACTTAAGTAAGATAAGAATTAAGTTTCTCAAATAAGAAGGATTAAATAGGGGTGCCCACCATCCCTATTTGACAAAAGAGTCAACCACATAATATTTGTTGTCTCGACTATAAAGGTCAGTGTACCTACACTTAAACACTGCTGAGATTGCTTTCTTACTGGTAAGAAAGCAATCTCAGCAGTGTTTAAGTCAATGAAACGACTGCCAAAATGCCGAAAATGTACCTAATTAATTAGGTTAATGTTGCTATGATAAATGATGCTACACAGACAAAGTTCTATGTATCCCCCTTCACGAGTCACACTATAATAATTTATAGCATCGCTGTTTTCGCCAAGGGTGAAACTTAGATATTTATTACCTCGCATCTTTTATTTTATGATTGTTTTGCTTGTCTCACTAACGCTAAAGGATTTGACGTGCAAAACAAAACTTTATTTCTATAGATTTTATTCGTGCGTTGACTATAAATGCTGCTGATATTTGTACAAAGGTTATAGTGCTTTTATGTTTGAAAAAGATAAGATCTAAAAGGCTTTTAAGATAGTCTGAAGAGTTGGTATTGAAGTCTTTGAGACGTTACATTGTAGAAGGTTTTTAATATCTTCTTAGACCCTTTTCTTTGAGTTTCTAATCTTTCACTACTACTAATGCTGCACATAAACATTTGCTTTTGACGCAGTTCCAAGTTTGGAATTACATAGGTTAGATATTGGGACTACTTTTGGAAGTATTGGAGAACTTTAGGTTGATACCAATTCACACAGTGTCTGCCAGAATCTACGAAATGTTTTTTTTTTTCAAGGCGTAACTTTATTCTCTATCCAAACATTGTTTTCAACTTGAAATTATTTGTACATAGGGACATCTTTAAGATGTTCTGATCTTTCTATATCCTTAGACATAATATGACGTATGTGGCTGAAAAATTCATCGGAGACACCATGGGCAGAAAGCAATTAAAAAAAAACAAAGAAGGATCAATTTACGTTAAAAGATCATTTGAGTCAGGAGGTTACATTTTATTAGACGATCAAGTAACCGATGAGACCCGTTGGGATTAAAGCCCATCTTTATGGCACAAGCCTCACTCTCAGATCCAATTAATTTGGCAGTTATACGAAAAGCGATCGTTCTAAACACAAAGCAATAAGGTCTAGAATCCAACTCACTCCTGGATTAGTGTTAGTTATCATTTACCTTTTGAGCCACGAAGAGCTCGTAGACGACGCAAACGCCAGTGACGGTGATGCCTTGCTCCTTGCACAGCATCGCGACGCCAACGCATGCTGTGCACGCCGCTACGTACCGCCAGTCTGAAATAACATGGGAATTTAAAGCAATTCTTAGATTTCAACCAGGTTTGGTTTTGAGAAAAAGAATAGGAAATTGCTGCGTGGTCCCTGCAGAGTACGAATATAATATGGACACTCCCAATCTTGTCGTGGATGTTATAAAATACGTCTTAGGGATAAAAATGCAACCATCAGGCCTCTGTAGCCCGTTTAACCAGTGTGGGGAGTGCAAGTCAAATTCTCCATTTGCCTTTGGTAAATTGGAGAGGATCGTGTTCATGCAGTGGAAACTAGATGATCTAATAATGATACGTTACACACGAACAGACATAACAAATTAAATGAAAAATCGCAGAACCTTAAAAACCTATTAAAAAAAAGACGTTCACGTAACACATAATATTCTTATTACACAAAACACGAAAAAATATCAAACGAATGGATTACTACATTCAGAGGTGTGTCATAAATTACTTCTAAGAACGACATTAATGATTATCTACTAGGAAAAGCCGAGCAAATCAGATTTCAGCGATAGCACTGTTTACGGTAGTCTTAATGACGAGGCCGATACTAAAAGTTCCCCAACAGTCTGCTATCTAAACTGGGGCAGTAAAGGGGAAAGTATCTGACTTCTGCATTAAAGGCTTTCATTAGTATTAGGAACGTTATGAATGTCTCTTTAAGTTTTTGTTTCGGAAAATATTTATGTTACTTGCCTATCTACATTTTTGTTTTGAGGTAGACTATTATTGAGTTCTTGATCAAGTATCGAATCATTATGCTTCTAAGCACGTGTATTGTCGTCGACTATATCATTCTTATTTCTGTTGCTGGACATTGGCCTCTAAGCCCCAAATGATTTCCAGACCAGTTCGAAGTGGTCTATCGGCCTACATCTAGCTACATCCTGTAGCCTTTAGTATTAACAGCTTAGTTACTGATTCACATAGTTTTACCTGTATATCGTCTTCTGCTAGCAGCACGCGCATAGCACAGCAAAGCACCAAGGAAGAACAGTGACGAAAGCATCTCGGCCCTGCCCACTACACCGGTTACCTAAAAGGAAAAATATCCATTAAAATTGCAATTCATATTTACTACCAGCCTCACTTTACTATAAGTACCCTGAAAGAAAATATCCACTATTTTAATCAGGAACAAGTAGTGGTGTTAACAAGATGATCCAATTGTCATCGACTGTTTGCGATAATCCAATTTATTCGATAGTACTTTCAATCAAATAAGGCCAATGTTGCCAGTATACCGTTACTAGAGTAAAGTCTACCAATAAGAAACACATCCTCAACATTGTTAGCCTGAAGAATTTAAAACATAATGTTACCAGCACCAAATCGAAACGTCTACAAAGTCAGCAGACGTCAGTTGGCGAATTGGCCACAAAAGTGAGCTGTATAAAATATGGGGCTGTTAAAACGAGTGATTCTAATTGGAAAACGGACGTAAACGGTGAAGTTGAAAGATCGTCAAGTTTACTGTTAACTGTGTAAAGCAGAGCTGCTGTACCAAATAGGGTAGTGTTGTGAAGGCAACGCTGACTCGTGTAATTCTCTTATTATGGGAAAGTGTTTTTTGTACTTCTATTCTATTTATCATCGAGACTGATTACCTTAACCAATAGCAGCTATGAGAAGCTTAAACATTTTGGTGTCCTAAAAAGCCGTTAAAGATTTTAATCGATTGTAGGTATATTCTACATCAAACAAAGGACAGCACTAACGTGTTAAGTATTTAGTCTTTAGAACTCAATATTATCGATAATTTAGAACGATAATCTTTAAAAAATCAGCACATCACTACCAAGTTTTAAAGCGGGCCGCCTGCATTGTCGTTTAACTGACCGTCACAAAATTTTGTTGCCACACTTCAAATATCATATCTACAGCCTTTTACTGTATGTAAGCAGAACCAGCAACGTTTTATGGTGGAATAACTTATTCACTGCTCTGAATAAATGATGTTGCAATTCTGGGCCTGACCCACTTTAATAAATCGAAGCCAAAAAATTCTCATTGATTCTATTCGGAACAAGAATCTACGGAGATTTGAAAAGTTGCCTCCATTGTGCATATATGATGGAATACCTCCGCTCCAGGAAAGTAATCAGACGATGTACCTAGTGTATTATGTATTTGCTTAAATTTTTCTATCTATCAATTTATAACAGCCTTTGGGGCCACGGGCTTCTGTGCCCGGCAACATGCATTCAGTTTATTCTAGCTTGTTGCCGGATATCATCTGTCCATCTTTTAGACGGTCTTCCTTTGCCGCGGGTGTTATTGCGGGGTTTCCACTCCAAGGTCTTTCTGGCCCAGCGATCGTGGTTTATCCGTGCAATGTGTCCTCCCCATCTCCATTTACGGCTCTCAATCTCTTCCACCACGTTGCTAACCCCCGTCTTTTCTTGAATTTTTACTTTGCGTTTATTCAAACATAGATTCTCGAAGTGCAACTAAATTTTCAAGTGCCTTTTATAAAGTATCGCGTTTACATTCACACATATTGGCCTCTAAATCTTGTTCCGTCTCGCCATTTTAACTGGAATGCTTTGTTGTAACAGACGTTCCAATTTTGTTTATCGTCACAGAATAATGTGTAGATTCCAGTGTTGCACTCGCATTGTGCATCGTGGGATGGTTATAAACCGGTTCAATTTCAGCGGGACACTTGTCACTGGTGTTGCCAGATACAGATGTAACACTAAGATTGCACAGGAGACAAACACAAGTCCGATTGGCAATAGATATTTGTAAGACGCTTGTGTCATGAACGAGAAAAGAGGGTAAACTTTTGGAACTACGAATAACAACATCAATAGTCGCTTGTAGCGGTGCACAGTAAAACCAAAACTGGTTTTTGTGACACCGTCAATAGTTATCATTAATATTTGGAAATGCTATGTAACTTGTTTTAAATAAATAATAAGGATTTAGAAAATGGATCAGTCACATTATAGTTTCAGTCACACACAGTACGTCCACTGCTGAACAAAGGTCTTCTCCAATAATTTACCAAATTAGGCGGTTTGTAGCGACCTGCATCCAGGGTATTTTTTGAAAAATGCGCTCATGATAGAAGGTAATGATAAAGAGTTACAAACAACACTCCATTTAAACTGTACTCATATATTGCGGTTGTTCTGTTACAACCAACCAATAAATAAAAGTCAATTCGCAACACCCGTCGGGTTTTCATAGGACTGTAAAAAAGTACAGTCCATGCGTATAATTTGTGGCTAAAAATATGTTCGATTAAGAGCGCCGATACGCCGCTCATGGCTCGCATCGTTTTTAAATACACTTTAAAAGCCGTAGATATTCATTCGGCTGGAAACAACTGTGGTCAAATGCACGTTAAAACCGTATATTCGGCAAAAATGGAGATCAAAAGGCACGGGCCCATTGTTGTTGCAAGCGTTTAATTTTTGCTGGGGTATTACTGATACGCCAACATTTCGTCGGATCAAAGTTGTGCGCGTGGAAATTGAAGTGTGCGGGAATCGGAATGCTGCCTTTGCTGTGGTCCACGCATCATGAAACTGATAATTGGGCAATGGCATACATAAATACATCTCAATACAGGAAAAAATAAACTGATTTTGATTTAATGTAGCATGAGTAAGAACGGTGAAGCTTCACAAATACTCAATTAATTTCCTGGAAAAACTAATTCTAGTGGAGTGACAAAAATTATAACGAGCTGGCTCACCCAGTGAGTTAAGTCTACCCTATTTCATCACATGCGATAAAAGTTTGTTAAAACAAAGCGAGGGTGAAGCTTTGCTTTGTTGCTTTTTGTTTACATTTCTTGTTCAAAATGAGGGCCGTCACAAAGAAGCGACAACTAGGGGAGCGGGTCGCGAATGAAAAATTGCTTGACTTATTTTTGCGGACAGCTCCCATAGTTTTCCGTGGGGTGAAAACCTGTCATACATTCACGTACGGAACAAATGCGAGGGTGAATGTACCATTTGCTTTATAGGTGACGGAATTTTATGCAAGTAAGTATAAATGGTTGGTAATAAATCTTTCGTACTAATTTGTTACAGAAAACTTTCATAACAATACAGATATGTCCTAGCAAACAAACATTTGTGTATTGTGTATTGTCGTATATTCGAGGTCTTATCAAATCTGTCGACGCGTTTCGTCTAACTAAAGTGAGGTAAAATCATAATGTCACCAATTTCATACATAGATTTTCACTAGTGTTTGACTTTGTAGCTGTCAGAATGTATAGGAAAACCAACAGGAAAAATTAAACCAGCAGTCTAATTTGAAGTGCCTCACTTTTCTGGCGCTTACTCGGTTTCTAATCTATGCTTACAATAAAATATTTTAACAATAAAATTGATGAATGAAATACTTACAGCCTCCGTATGTATAGGGTGCACGGCAAACAAGATGGCGGCGACGAAACTTGCGAACTCTGGCAGGAACATAGCGCAGACCCTGCAACAGACAACTGGGTCAGAACTCAGAACTTGCCACCGAACTTAGAGATATCTTGGTAACTCAGTGGATGTATCTAAGTACGGTTATTAGCTGTGTTTTCGTTAATTGTTAATTGATGATCCAGATCCGTAGAAATCGTTTTGCCAAGTGTCCAGTCAACTAATTAGGTTTATAACTGGAACTGAGTCCAGTAAAGAAGTCGAGCTTTATTCTAAATTTCATTTTAAAATCGAAACAAAATGTCCTTACATCGTGTTTTTAGTGTACTAATAAAGAAAATTAAAATTACATTTGTAGTTTTCCGTAATTTACATCATCGTCATCTTATCGAAATATTATATTATCAAAATTAAGTTCAATACGGTGGTTTTGGCTACGTTAAGACTTCGGTCCAATAAAGCCATGTTAGATGGCTCAAAAGGTCAGGATGACACCAGCAGGGTGACTTGAATTCTTTCCTAAATTGTAATAACTCACACAGTCTAAGAATACGAAACTAAAATCAGCCAGACTGACTTAATTACAATTGTATTCAAAGAAAAAGCGAAGTAACGTAAAAACTTGAGAAGCCCGTGTACAGCCTCTAAAACTTTTAAGAAGCATTAAGAAGAGCTCTAATGAACAGAGCCCACCCTAGGGGGTTCGACTTCAAAGTTAGCAGAACTATTTTAAAACAGCTGAAGGTAGATTCACACATATCAGTCCGGAAGATAGTGTGGGTAGGCCTTACACTAGCTAGGTGAATCGACGATCTGGTGAAGGTCGCGGGAAGCTGGATGCGGGCAGCGCAGGACCAGTAATTGTGGAAATTCCTGGAGGAGGCTTTTACCTAGCATTGGACGTCATTTGGCTGAAACAAACGAACACTGATGTGTGTCCGTGAAGTCGCAGTTCCGTTACGGCCTCACAGTGCGAAATATTCTTTCATACCTACATTCTTTTAATCTTCATCTGTTTATGGCAACATTCATTCTCCACTTATCAGTGTCAGTGACGACACAGTGCTCTTAATGTCAGTGGATGCATTCAAATAGTTTTTTTTTAAATCACTGTGTAAGAGCTGCGCACGTGACATTGGCCGAACAGTGGCAAGTTCGTCGCTATCAACAAAAATAAAAAGTATGAAAGAATATTTTCGCACTGTACCGGTACTGTGGGTTCCCTGATATGTGTGAATCGGCCTTTACAGCAGACGTCCGTGCGCGCCGGAGTGTGTTGTTCGAGTGACAATAATTGGCGGGAAGTTTGCGGAGCGACACCGACATGTTTGGTTTCACAGCAACTTCTCGTGAACTTACGACTTTCAGCACACTTGTGGATGTTCGTTTTCTAGCACTCTCTTTTGTTTGGTAACGAAATAGAATAGGCTAGGAGTATGATAAAATTGTGTAAAAGCAAAGCGCTTTTAAAAAATGTCTATTGATAGAAAATTTGTGACTGATGACTTTTTACTCAAAAAGATTCAGACCAGTTTCAATGGTTTCTGATAGGTTCAGATAGTTACCGGATGTCTATGATCTAATTTAATAAAAGTTTACAGATTACAGATTGACTTTATCTGACAGTTTGCTGGTTTTTAAATGTAGTAAAGTAAGACATTGTGTTAACACGAGTGGAAAAGACCTTATTATCATTACATTCCTTCTAGAAAAACAAATTGGATATTAGTTCTTTAGAAGATTCTTTTAAGATTCCTTTGAAACGATAAATGATCGAGAATGGTGTAAGAGTGCATCCACCTGCAAGCTTAGGTCCATTGCACATTATGGAACAGTTTTAAACTCAGATCAATGATCTGAAGTTTTAAATAATCTATTATGCAAGTTATAATTAATATTATTTTCTTTCTTTCGTATGCCATTTGGTATCTTGGGTAATATTCGGTATTCATTAAAGGTAAAGAAGAAGAAATAATATTTCATTAGCCAACTAGTTTTAATAATTTGAGTCGGGCAGTGTGTCATCGGCCTAAACATAAAGTCAAAGAGCAGTCTCGGCCAACTTCTGAGTATCGGAATTAAGGCCGCCCATGCACGACGTCGCCAAAGCGCTCAATACTCAACAACTTTAATCTCCACTAAGACTCGTGCCCAGTGTGCTAAGCCGTAAAGTAGCGGGGTGATTCGAAGTGTGCAGCGGACTTAAAAACGTAGGTTTGACATCTATGATAAGAATGTCAATAGTTTTGCCCCTATATGTGCTCAATATACCTTGAACTAGTATTTGCAGATCCTGTAGATATAAATAGTTACATGATCGCAGTCAAAAGATATAAATCACGCTAATAAAATGACTGGGTTAAAATGAAAACTAAGCGTCGTTGATATTTTTTTAAAGATCATTACTGTTATAATGTTCAGGATTCGGCAGTTTAAATCCCTCTCAGTGAAGGTGCATTTGTCACGCAATTCTTTTTTTCACCAGGATCTACAACTTGACCTTAAAATTCAACCATTGAAGGTCAAGTTTCCCGGGGGAAAGATAAACTGTCAGTGGACCCGCAACGAAATTAATATAGGAGGAGTTCGAAGGTTCCTTAATACGTCGATTGTCGACTCAAGTCGCCCAGTGTGCGGCAGGGCTAAATCCCCGGCGAAGGTGCACTGATCGCCGACTAACTTCTATCAGAATTAAGGCGCTCGTTACCGACTTTTTGTGAGCAGCGAAATCTCTCGGAACTTCGCGAAAAACATTTATGACTAGTTTGTTGGTCGTAATGAGGCTTGGAGTATGGAAATGACCACTATTAGAATTGGAACGATTGTGTTATGAAAAATCGAATGCTGGATCGCTCTTGTTAATTAATAACTTTAAATTCTAGGACATATCTAGAATCTAAAGTTATTAATTAAGGACAATAATAATGACATAACCAGTGGGTTATAAAAATTAGAGTTAAATAATAAAGCACCGCAATAGGAACCTTTATGCCCGTTTTCACCATCAATCCCTAATTTTAAAGTGACCCCTAAGAAAACAAAATTCCAGTTATGTGTTTACATAAGGGTCACTTAAAAATTAGGGATTGATGGTGAAAACGGGCATAAGTCACATAAAATAATCAAATAAGAAAAAACAAATATAACTTCCCTAAGCAAGAGTTTGAGCTCTTATTTGCGCAGAGTGAAGATTCGGTTTCTTTACTCATGTGTTATTAGCCTTCAAGGTAAGGCACAAACTTACGTAAGTTACGTATTATTACGCCCCATTATTACGATTCCTAATCATTCCCATTATGTAATCTGCGTCACAACAAGTAAGATATACATTAATTAAATACGACTTCCAAAGCCCTCAAGGCAAAAATAATTGGAACAACAAGAATTTCATAAAGGCACCGTAAATATAAGCAAAAATATTTGCAAATGTAATAAATATTCAGTTTCACTCGAAAAGCAATTATGTACGTGTACGAATAATAAAGCGACATCCAAACAAATTCAATTGTGTTTGTTATTATATAAACCTAGCCAAATTAGGTTCCTTTCATTGTATCCAACATGACTAATAGCTGATCCAATTTGTATTGAAGCAGGTAGTTGTGTTTGTTCTTCAAAAGTTACTAAAATGACTGAAAAGTTATTGTTATTTCACTCACAACGACCATTCGACCATACCACAGTAGATAAATCATATACTGTGACCATACTAAGCCTTAGTTAAGTAACGTATTGTTTTGTCAGGTATAAAATAAATGTTTTAATATGTAAGCTGTGAGTATACCTACGGATAGATGTTTCGTATGGATATCAGGGTGATATCAGTCATTGGTTCTTAATCTCTTCAAAGCTCAAAAATGGACTCGAACTCTGTCATAATAATTAAGGCTTTATATTTTGAAGTAGCATGAATCTTGAGTGAAAATCGGTAATTGAGTATCGTTTAGTAACGAGCAGTATTATAAAAGTCTAGTAATAGTAAAGATTTAATTTTATCTGTGTGACTGAACTTTAGTTGAGTGGTGAGGTGATGATAAAATGAAATTTTCAGCGACGTTTCAGAATCCCAATAGCTTAAATAGATACAAATAGGTAGGTCAGTCTTTCTCTCATTAATACTCTTATTTACCCTTTTCATTCTAGTAGGTATTCATTTATATAAACTCTAAAATCATACACTACTCACTCGCTTCCCAGACTAGTGGGTAAAGTTTTAATCTGCCAGGTTCTACGTAGTTTGCCAGTTTACGAGTAAGTCGCACGATACATACTTGGAATAATAGTAGTAACTTCTCACCTATACTCGGGGCAAAAAGCAACGGGCAACTCGGAGCTGCAACATCGTCATATTGGCACGTGAGTTTGGTGTGGGGACACCATAAAACTGAATTATTTTCTTCTAAATACCCTACAAATCTCAAAGACGCTTTTTCCCTCTACTGTTCTTCTTTTCCCACCGGGTTCATGAAATTTAAAAATGTACTAAGAAAATGCTTTTTTGTTTTTTATCGTGAAACTCGCGGACCTGTGCTGTGGGATCCAAAGTATCCTACTAATATTATAAATGCGAAAGTTTGGATGTTTGTTACTCTTTCACGCAAAAACTGCTGAACGGATTTTGTTGAACAGTATTATTATTTGTAACCCAGATTAACATATAGGCTATAATTTATGCCGATCTGTGATACTAAATTTCACGTGGGTGAAGCCGCGGGCAAAAGCTAGTGAACATATATTTTTAAAACAATAGAGCTTTGGGAATAAGCCCTCAAGGAACAGCAGAATAATCGTATAGATGGATGGGTGCAAGAAAAATAGCCCCACCATAAACCAGTGATCATAAAGAATCTCTCCGTCTTAAATTTATAGCCAGTAATCAATCTAGGTCACAAATCTGACCCATACCAACTAACCGACAACCGCATGTCAGGTCGATCGATGGTGGTAAAATGTCTCTTGTTATCTTTAGTACTTTAGTTTTTAAAAGTTTTCACTGTTATGATGTTTTAAAACATCATAACAGTGAAATTTTGCAGCTGCAAGGTTAGTTTAGTTAAT